GATGGAAAAAACTTCGCCCCTTCTGGAATTTATTTGAAATTGAATCTGATGACATGGGATATGAGCCCGATTTCAGCGGTGAAATTCGATGACCACACAACTCGACACTCGAATAAGTAAATAACGTAAGCTATCGTATATTAAAATGATTTATTTCTGACTGAAGCTCGTTACATTGACAGCATCTATCGCTCATATATTTCCGAAATGCCACGACTACGAAGGCAGAATCCTGACAGCGATTATTTCACGCATTAGCATTCAATCGGAACCAAATCCACGCCAAAAAAAGCGAAATTGGATTTCCGACCACCGGAACCGAAAAGTTGATTTCAGTCGAGGATATCCGATTTAACCGCGAATAAGATCAGAAGGTCGCGAAAGCACAAAAGCGTGAAACTATCCTCATTTCCGCCAATGTCGCGACCCAGGATGGAAGGAGAACATGCAAATTCGTCAAGCATGAATTGGCCATCACGGGATTCTGTTTTTATTTTTATTTCACCAAAATCATTATTCAACAAAAAAAATATGAGAGTCCCCGAACTCGAGGTGAGAAGTCATTAGCAGATTATTGGGTGAGAAATAAAGAAAGACGTGGGTTACCCAATAATGAGTGGACTGCTGGAGAAGAATGAGATCTGTCATGCTAGCCTCATTTATTAAAAAAAAATTAGAGAAAGAAAAAATTTAGTTTGTCTTCCGATGAAGGCTTTTTGGCGAAGTTCTGAACGAGTGCAGCTGTAGCCTTCGGTTCGGTATAAATGCCAGCAAATTTCCCAGGTTCCATCATCAGTTCGCTCGTTCGTTGCATTCGTGAAAGCAGATTTAAAAAAAAAAAACACATTTTTTCCACTAAACTTTCATACATCACAAGCAACAACAACAAAATGAACTTCTCCGCTGTTCTGAAGTTTGTGACCGTAAGTTTGCTCATGTTTTTGACTTGCTTCGGTCTGTTCAAACATTCCGCTCAAATAAAATAAGTGAAATTTCCCCTTATTAGGTGGAAAAACAAGAAACGTGTTACTTTCAGAATTCCAGAAGCCTAAAAAATTGTGTTTATGAATTCATCTTTTCTCAAAGGCTTTCCATATTTGTAATTGTATGTTCAACCCTTTGCTTTGTAGAAGATTGCTTGCCATGTTGCCAATTAATGGCTGCACAATTTAGCCTCTGGACAGTGTAGGGTTCTTTTGCATTGTGGGGTGGAGTCAGGATTATTAAAAGGTGTGGGGGGGGGGGGAATGGCACATTTCAGTTTTACCCAAGGTCACTGAAATGCTCCCAGGTTGAGAAGACATAAGTCAAGAAAAATCCAAGCAACAAATTTTGTATCGTTTTTAGGAATCATCCATGCAATTCCTATGCCAGGAATGCTGAAAAAATTCCTCCCTGTAAAGGATTGCTTGGATTTTGAATAATCATTAAATTGATTAGTATTTTGATTTTACATTAGAATCTTAATTTTCAAGGGATTATAGCAGACTATTTGAGGTAAGAAGTTTTGAGATAAGGAAAC